AGCTTTTTTTTTTTTTAATTATTAATTTTTTTATTTGTTTCGAGGAAGAAAGGAGAGGGAGAGAGAGACAGAAACCTTCAACAATGAGAGATTCATTGATCGGCTGCCTCCTGCATGCCCCCTTACTGGGGATTGAGCCCTCAACCCGGGCATGTGCCCTTAACCAGATTTGAACCTGGGACCCTTCAGTCCGCCAAGCCGATGCTCTATCACTGAGCCAAACCAGCTAGGGCAAGTAGGATGATTTTAGACAGGTGAAAAAGATCTTCAGATGAGTAGAGAGAGAGAGATAGATCCCCAAGCTGGACAGGCAGATAGCCATACCAGTAGACTTTCAGAGGGACAGTTCACGCAGCTGGATGGACACATAGGCATCCTCTTAGCTAGCCAGATATGCCTTCCCCCCGGTGGGCAGACAGACTCCCAGCTAGCTAGATGGATTCCCAGCCAAATAGACAACAGTCACATAGACAGACCCTTCAATACACAGATACCCCAATCAGCCGGCTAGACTCACAACCAGGCAGATAGGTGGACCTCCAGACAGGTGGACAAACTCCACTAAGTCACTAACTACACAGAACCCACATTTTGGCAGACAAATTGCTGTACCTCCTGATGAGAAGACAATCAGGTCAACTCCCAGGCAGTCAACATGAGCATCATGAGCCAGACAGAATCCTGACTACCTCCCAGCTAGGCATACATTGTAGATCAGCAGATCCTTCAAACAGACTTCCTACTAGCCAGAGGGACCTCCAGCCCCTCAGAAAAATAGGACCCCAATGACCCTTAATTGGACAGATGGACTCCCATTTCTACAGTGAGACTATCCTCAGCCAGAGAGATAAGTGGACTTCAAGCCAATTGGTTAGTTAAATTCCAAACTAGACAGTCACCTCAAACCAGATGAATGGGTGGACCCTCATCTGGACAGATGACTGATCTCTAGTAAGTCAGATCCTATTTAGAGCCCAGCCAGAGAGAAAGACCCTCCCCAACCAGACTGTTTCCTTGCGGTTCACACAGATCCCTGGCCAGATAGATCCCCAACCCTTGAGTAGATGGACACATTGTCATCTTGGCAAACAAATCGGTATCCAGCAAGACAGATCTCTAGCCTTATAGACAAATAGACTGACCCAGGCAGACATACCAGCTCCTAGCCAAACAGACTCATGAACCTCCAAGTAGACTGATTCAACTGGAAAAATGAGCTCCAGATAGACTGACTCCCAGCTTCATAAGACCCTCAGACAAACCCCTGTGTGTGTAGACATGCAGACCCCTGGCCAAAAAGACAACAGACACCCCTCCACCCCACCCCACTCCTCCATGTAGACAGGTAGACACTCAGGAAGCCAGACAAATCTCTATCTGTACACATAGACAGATGAGTCACCCAGCCAGGAAACAGTTTCCCATCCAGATCTTTAAGCTGGCCAGCACTGCAGGTAAATAGAAAGACAAGAGTAAATATACTTGATGCTCTAAAATCCTGCTTCTGCTCTGTGAGATGTCCTTCCCATGTGATCTTCCCAACACTGTCTATCTGACAATGCCATGTTCATCCAGGCAGACTGCCAGCTATCTCTCTCCAACACAGTACCCTGTCCAGGTTATTGAAAAGCTGTCCTGTGTCTGTGATGAACATGGGACCATTAAAGCCTTCACCTGCCACTTGCCCATACAGACCCACATAGCTAACACTAACTGTTTGGTATGTATATGGACTGAGTCAGTGATCTTCAGAACAACTTCACAATAAAGGTGACTAGAAAAATTCTAAGGTGTGCTAAATTAAATTACTGCAGGCAGGAGAGTGAGAGAAAAGACAAGAGTATTTAGCCAGCTGTGGGCTAACTAACAATAGAGTGCTCACATTCCTGAATGTACCTTGGAGCTTTGAATCAACTTCAGGGGGTTATCTGAAAAGAAGTAATGGACCACTAGACACCGCAACATACTGCTTATGCATGAACTTGCAGAACTTGTCCAGCACCAATCAAAAGTGGTAAATATTTCTTCCTTAAGGACTGTACATCTATTCTAGAACTGCCCCCCCTTCACCTTTTCCCACCTCCTTATCTGTAGCCAACGTAAATTCTTTCAAAACAAGTTACATCTTTCTTCCCTGAAACATCTATATATAAAAAGCCAGTGACTGTAATGCCATAATGGCCAGAATGACCGGTCGCTATGACGTCCACTGCGGCCAGCGAACCCACCTGATGCGGGGGCAGAGCCTGCGGCCCCTCCCCCTGGCTGGCCCTACCCCTGATCAGCCTCTCCCACCCCAATCGAGGTCAGGGCAGCTGGCCAAACCCCCCAAGGCCCTTCCTCCTTGCCCTCCTAGGCGCCCCATCCCTGATTTCCCCCCACCCAATAGGGGGCAGGGCTGCCCAGCCAACCTCCTGCAGCCCCCTCCTCCCACCCGGCCCCACCCCAGATCGGCCCCCCAAACCCAATCAGGGGTGGGGCTGGCTGGCCCACCACCTACAGCCCCTCCCCACAGCTGGCCCTGCCAGCCCTCAATTGGCCACTTGCCCCAATCGGGGGTGGGCCCACTGGCCAATCACCCTTGTCCCCTCCCCCGAGCTGGCCCAGCCCCAATCCACCCTGATTGGGGCTGGGCTGTCCGGACCCCACCTGTGCATGAATTTGTGCACTGGGCCTCTAGTAATATATAAAAGAGTTCATCAATTCCAGGACAGAAGACATGTTGCCTTCCCCCTCTAGCTGTGCTGCTGGTGGTTTAGACTGCATGCTCCAGAACCTGTCCTTTTGGGCTAGCATTTGGCTCAATAAACACTTTCTTTCAGAAAAAACTTCAGGCATAAAAGGTTTTCTTTAACGGAGATAACTTTGTTATCCCCACTTTACTTAGCCCAGGAAATTATTCTGATATTTCAAAAGTTTAATATCCTAGATGCAAAAAGACAATAGACAGACTCAATTAAGGTAAAAATTGACCTTTGTCAAGGGAGATACTGGCCTAGGACATGACTACTCCCCATGACTCACTTTTAGTTAGGAAGTTTTAATTTCAGACCATCCTATGTGGTTAGGA